TTTGAGAATTTAGTTTTTCTTTTATATATATATATATATATATATATATATATATATATATATATATTCTGAAAGAAGATTTCTCTTGGCTTATATAATAAAAGTTCGTCACGCCCATAGTTAGATGTCTTTAGAATCAATTAAGGTTCGATTATGCTTTTAAATTCTGCATAAATATCATAAAAAGCTTCGAATATAAAACAAGCATGATCAACGAATATTTAAACCTGTTTATCAACTAAACCGTATAATTATTAATGTAAAATTAATCTTTGAACAGAACCATGTATTATTTGTTCCATAATATACATATGTAAGTACCTATACCACTCATTATTTTTTGTCAACTTTTCAAATCACCAACGAGATAAGAAAAGAAATATACGAAGGATCAAAGATCATCATAATATTCCAATGAATGACGTAAAGCGGAAAGGATCATCAATGTATATTTAAAGTTAATATTTTTTAAAAAATGAAAAATATTTTAGACTTAATCTTTATTCATTATTAATATCTTTAAATCTTTATTTTTTCTCGTTAAAAAAGTATGAAATCAAATATTTTTTGTAACTATTTGATTGTGGTTTTGAAGTCATATTCCCGGAATTTTCATCTTCATATTGACGGAATAAATCTGAATAATTTTATAATCGAATTTCATAAACATTATATTTGGGTCAATTTCCATGGCGTTCAATATTTCTTCGTGCTCTATAGACATTTATATTTGGGTTAATTTCCATGATATTTAATATTACTTTCATATTTCTAATTTCTTTCCATACAACATTACAGGAATGATGTAAATTTTTTAATGATAGCAGGACTTTCCAAATGGTTTATCTCTTAACTTGGAAAAAAAGCGATGTACAGCATTCCGTGCTTGTTCTTATTATTAAAATTGAAATCTCGACATTTTGTAAGGTATCTACCAGAGATCTTTCTTGTAATTAAATAAGTTTTTAATAAAAATCTATTGCTAAAACGGTCTTCAACGGATATCGTAGCATGTCAATTTCATTCATGATGATAAAATAATTTAAATTTTATATGGTTATTTAACAAACTAATAATAATCTAAATCTAATTAAGCTGTTTTATTACTCCCTACAACATTAAATTTATGATAATATAAATCAAAATTAAGCTGTTTTATTACACCCTACAACATTAAATTTATGATAATATAAATCAAAATTCTTAGAGGCTTATTTCTTAAATAAAATTAACGTATATATAAATATATAATTATAGAAGAATTGTTCGTTTAATATTATATTTAGAATAGTATAGGATAGTGACAACATGGAAATTAACTGTCTTATATATCATGGACTTTAACGGAACACGTGCTCAAGATAAACATTGCTTTTTGATAGCGACGATGGTGCAAGATTGGAAAATTCTACTAACAATTTTCTTTGGTAAGAAAGTAAAAGTTGTTCTTCCTGTATTGCGTCTACAACTTGTCTTTCATATATTAGTAATATATACAAACACGATCTCACCCATTCTCTTTCTCTTTCTCTCTCTCTCTTTTTTCTTTTTCCCTCATTGGCACATTCGCTTACCTAGTCATTCACTTATGTACACATAGTCTTTATGTACGGTAATAGTGTCGTATATATTTAAAACCCAGTCGTACTTCCGAGTTCAGATAAATCAGAGTTTAAGCATTGCCGAAGATTTCTCTTCCTATAACTCGATTCTATCAAATTATTATTTATCATTTTTTTTTCTCACTTTTTCTACGGAAATTCTCAACGAGATTTCTTATGCCTGTTTTTTTCTTTTCACTTAAAAAATAATCATTATAGCAGGAGTCAGCCATTGATAAGCAAGAACAAGAATTTTTACAAATAAGGCAGGATCACCTTGAACTCATCGTATTCATTATATTCTCCTTTAAATTTTTCTTTTTTTGACCATCATAAAATGAAAAAATGGCTTAACGCTAAGCCTTGGTTTTATGGACCGTGAATAGACATTTACTCAATTGACATTTTGACATCGTGGATAGACATTTACCCAGTTTGATCGATTAACTTTTTTTTATTTTCTGCCGAAGAAAAGTCTCCGTTTTTCTCTCTCTCTTTCCTCTCTCTTTCTTATTGTCTCTTTTAAATCGTAGATCTAATAGATTTGTAATGTAATTAAGAAGTTCAATCGTATAAGTTACATCATCGAGTATACTAGGTCAAAATCGATTTGACTTTCCAATTACTCAGCATACTTGAAGTTTCATGAGAAGGCAGGGACAATCATAGCATGCGACGTGTTTAGAAAGTAATCTACTTGGAGAAGAACGCTCGCGTGTTACTGGCAACACAGCAACACCGTGGCCTGGTGAACTCGACGATAACGAACGTGAATTTAGTCGTGGTCTGGTTAACCGTTACTAATTATTTATTTTCTCTCGTAATTCTTTCTCTTTTTTTTCCTTCTCTTAATGAATTCTTTTGTCTAAACAAATTCTGTTGAAACAAAAATAAAACGACCATCTGTATTCCCCTGAGAAAAATGTCAAGTCTTCCATAATGGTGAACTCTCGAACCGTTGAGAGAGGCGATTGTCCTAGACGCCGCATGCGGTCGTACAACTTTCTCGCGTGCGGAATTACAGACGCGGAAGAAGGTTGAAAGTGCTTGTAGCTTCGAGTGCTGCGATATCAGCGATGCATCGACAGTACACTTAGGATCGTTGCCTCGTGAGGTTCATATTTGTTTTTATCGAGGGAACTTTTCTCACAACACCTTTACGGTAAGTTTGCTCCATTCGGTCTCATTAGCGAGAACTTTGCAATGAAATCGAGAAAAAAAAATTTTTCCAAGAAGAAAAAAAAAAGGAACTCAAAAGATACAAATATGTCTATCTTGTTTCCACATATAATATTTAATTATACGTAGAATTTATCATTCGAATCGAAATATCTCAAAGTTCAATTCTCAATATATTTATCTTCCAAAGTCCGATTTCAAAGTTCGCTAGAGTTCGTTCATCAATAAATGTACTATTAATTGTGAATTTAATAAATTTCACTTATTTCATTCAAGATGGTTCTTCACACTTGAGTTCTTCAACTTTAACATAAAGCCTCAAGGTTAGGAAAATTCGGAATATTTCGCTATAAATCATAGTGAATAATGCATTTTCATTATATACAGCTTGTAATCATGATTGCCACGTCTCCGCTTTCAGTCCGGAGATTTCCAATTTTTTAATTAATAAATCTTTGGCGTCCACCGGTTTTATAAGAAAAATCTTTCAGATTGTAATAATTATACTTTCGTAATTTTCAAAACTTTAAGATATAATAAAAGTTTAAAATTATTTTTTTTTTCTTTTTTTTTAAATAATTCTTAATACGCATTGTGATTTGATAATTACGTCATTATCTTTCTGCAATGAGAAAATATTTTTCATACATTTTTGCTGACAAGTATTAAAATTTTGTTTCTGTAATAAATGATTTACCAATATTTATTGTTTTTGTTTGTTCGATATCTTTTTCTTTCTTTCTTTCTTTCCTTCTTTTTTTTTTCTTTTTTTTTCTTTTTGCTAATCAAAATCTTCGGGTTAATATTGATTAAAAAGGTCGCAAATCTGTTCATGACATACATATATGTCTGATATACTTATGTAAAGTAGAAATCTTTGATAAGTATAAATTATTATAATATGTTTTGTCTGATGAAACATTATAAGTAAGTATTAGCATGATGACATAATAGAACTCATGTTCTTTGTCTTTTGCGTAACGAACATCACGACAGAGAGAGAGAGAGAGAGGGAGAGAGAGAGAAAGAGAGAGAGGAGACGCTTGTTTGCTTTTTCATCTTCGATATAAATATAATAGAATACTTTTATAGCATTTTAAGGTATATATAAGTCTACAATATTTTATAGCGGATGTAATCATGTGAACTGTTCTCTATATTATCAATTTAAATGTATCACGTGTGAAAGAGCTACAATATTTTTCTCTCTTCCCCTCCCTCTCTCTTTCTCTTTCTCTTTCTCTCTCACTCACTCACTATTATCACTCGCATTTCCCATTGTTTTTCCTCGTACTATAGAAGTACAGATCAATTTTACGTCGAAGTAGGTCGAGCGATGAAACTATCCTTCCTTGAACGTTGCGCAATTGTATTACATTGCTAACAAATTCAAGGACACCCATTAAAAAGACAAATTTTTATTCATAGAGCTTATTATACAAATGAAATTGTATTCCTTATTCGTTTCATTTTATAAGATTTAATTTTGAACCGGGACAAATTTGAATCGATACATAGCCATTATTTAATTACAATTACATTCAATCACGAAGACTACTTATACCTTATTATTACAACGCGAAGCGAAACGAATGAAAGAAAATAAGATAAAAAAAAGAAAAAAAGAAATAAATGAAAAAAAAGAAGAACAAAGAAAAAAAAAAGAAAAAGAAAACGCACAACCGGAAGATGCAATTTTAAAAATGACCTACAAACTTGTAAAAGCGAATATAATTTTATGACTTCATACGAACGAATCCTGTATATATCATTAACGATAATAACAGCGAAAAAACAAAGAATTAAAATGGCATTCCGAAGTTACATTATTCGTGATGTAATTAGAAAATTTCTAGTAACTTTATTTAACCGCTTTCGAAAAGAAATATTAGGGTAATACGCAGGATATATTTTAAGATAATCGAAGAAGCATATCGGTCTTATTTTGCGAGTATTACCGCATATTAACCAGCATTACAGTTGTTAGTGAAAGCACAAAACCATAGAAGCAACAGGATGACCCTGACCACGTTTCGCAAGAGATATATATACGCTCTCTCCCTCTCTCTCTTTCTCTCGCTCTTTTGTTCTATCTCTCTCTCCTTTTCTCTGTCTGTCTGTCTAGCAGTCTGTCTGTCTATCTGTCTGTCTGTTTGTTTGCCTGTTCGTCTGTCTGTCTGTCTGTCTGTTTGTCTGTCTGTCTACCTGTCTACTTTTGTCTACTTCTATTTTTCACATGTAACGCTTAGATGAGACGTAAAAAACTTTTATTTTCATTAAAATCATTCAAGTCGTTGGACTCTGATCTGCAAGATAAAAGATGACAGAGCCGACTTCGTTACTTTTTATTTTTTCTTTTACGTTATTACTACAAAAATTATATCGCGGTGTGAAATGAGCTTAAACCTTGCGAATCGGCAGAAAGGAGGAAAAGAGAAGGAGGTTAGTTGTATATCATACGAGAGCGATAGTCGAAGATAAACGTGAAACGTGAAGTATTCGTTGTAGACGGCGAATGTGTCAGAGCGTCACTCTTGTGCGGTTGCCAATTTATCATAATTTTTTTTTTTTATAAGTTTGGAAATTTTAAACTTGTATTCAATGTAATTTTTATTAAGAGGAAGAAAAATGTATTCGTCTAACGATAGAAATTCAATTACGGCGCAGACTAACGACGAGAAGAATCTTAAGAAAGAGGATAAAAGGGAGGAAAAAGAAGAAGAAAAGAAGGACGGTGTCCACAATTTGTGTCATCAACGTTTGAACAAATTCGACGAAAGGAAGGACGAGGAACGACGGGAGTGCGTTAATGAGAGAGAAGATTCGAGGGCTTCCAAGATGCCGGAACTCAAGGACGAGCTAATAGAGCCCGACGACGAGATCGTTAACCTCGATCTCGATGAACCACCCCCTGATGTTATAGAGTATGCTAGGAGAGAAGTTGGCGAGACGGACGAGGTCAAATGTCAAACCTTGCAAGAATTACGCGACTTGATTTACGGTAAATTAATGTAAATTCTAAGATCGTCACAAAATTTCCTTAGAAAAACTTTTCTTCGAAAAGTTCGTATCCTACCGACGATCGATTAATTCATATTCTTTTTTCTTTTTATTTCATTTTTTTTTCCCGTTCCTCATTATGTTTCAATATTATAATCTTACCGAGAATTTTATGAATCATCTATATAATTTGAATAATATTAGTGAGTAACATAAATTGTTTGACCTTCTCGCTAATACTTGTATCTTTGCGGCGTATAAAAAAAGATTAAGTAATTAACGACTATCAACGATATTGCCTCATTAAAAATTTCATTGATCTTAATGCCAATCAGACATTAACGATTTGCAATCAGGCATTAATCGATTCACACACGATCTTTGTGATATTAGAAGTAACGTGTAAAAAATAATTTACATAAGCTCGAGGTTAAAAATTATAAAACCTCTAAGCAATCTTTAAGAGGTACATGGATAAAGCATTAAATGAATATGTCAGGAACGAACAAAACAATGATTATATGAGCTCATCGTATTCAATAGTTTTCAAAGAAGAAATTTTTTGAATATTCGAAGCTAGTCGAAGTTTCAAGCAAACTTATCAAAAGTATCCTAATCGTTTCTTCAAATAATCATACAAACTTTACTTTACTCGTTATCGCTTCTTTCATCGAGATAATTATCAAAAATTCAATTGATTTTCATTATTCTCACTTTTATAATATTTGAAATAAGTAAGTGTGAAGAGACGAAACTTATATTAAACTTTTAATGATTTTTTCCTCGATTTCACGTTTAGAACAAGGTGAATGCATACCGCATAGAATGGATGATGATTTTCTGATAAGATTTCTCCGTGCAAGACATTTCGACGTAAATCGTGCTCATCGACTGGTGAGTCATCGTTAAATGCTTATTTTTATTCTTTTAATATAACATAAACAATTACAAGTTGAATGATGATAGACCGAAGAAAGTTATTACGTAAAATAAATATTAAAATTTTTTATTAATTGTTTCTATTAAGAAAAATTACCTTTAAAAAAACGTCAATCAATATATATATACATACATATATATATATATATATATATATATATATATATATATATATATATAATGTTTCTCGATACTGTCCTCTCTCTTTCTTTCCATGTTATCCGGATTAAAAAAAGAAACATTCGCCAGTGATTGTAGTTGAGCAATGATGCCAAGGCAAACCTATTGCTGACAGTAACGAGTAAAGATCGATGGCCTAATGTTACATGCTTTCTGTCGTTGCAACAAAAAAAAGAAATGCAATGCTTAGCAATTTTAACCAAACCGAGAATGTTCAACACGAAATCTGCAAGAAATCGATACTGCACGTTATTTCGTGTCTGTAATTTCTCTGGATCTTTCTCGTTATATATATATATATATGCCATACGTATACATATATATATATATATATATATATATATGCCATACGTATACATATATATATATATATATATATATGCCATACGTATATATATATATATATATATATATATATATATATGCCATACGTATATATATATATATATATATATACGTATAGCATACGTATAGCACCAGACATGGACTCTGAAAATTCAATTTTCTTTTGTACATAAAAATTTATCCACTGAAATCCTTCGATAAAAGCATACTCTCTCCTATCTTACAAGAGAACGCGCTCACTACAATAGAAAAGTTTTCTCATGGCTGAGAATGTACGTGAAACTTTTTAAGGTCTTTTTCGTCGATTCACGCGATTCAGGTGTATCAGCCGTTTGTCTCATGGGATCTTTCGATAGGTAGTGAATTACTACAACTTCAAGGAAGAACATCCAGAGATACATCAGGATGTATGTCCAAACGAGATGTGTCATATAGGCGAGGACTATGTAGTTACTGTACCGGCTTATAGAACTGAATGTGGCAGACGGATGATGATTTATCGTATGGGTAATTGGGATCCTCGAAAGTACCCTGTCGAAGAGATTTTCAAGGCTACAGTTATTATACTCGAGCTAGGTATTCTCGAGCCAAGAGCTCAAATCTTAGGTGGCATCGTCGTTTTTGATCTCAAGGATATTACTATGTCGCATGTTTGGACGGTAACACCGCAGGTCTGATTCTTATTTTATCGCATTCATTTTTCTTTCCTCGCAGATTGAAGTTCTTTTTGAATTTTACAGGTTGCTAATATGGTCATGGCTCTGATGGTAACGGCCTTTCCCATAAAGACATACGCAATTCATATACTTCATCAATCCTGGATATTCGAAGCGATTTATGCTGTTTTCAAGCCACTTTTAAATACTCGAATGAAGAACAGAATCTTCTTTCATGGCGACGACATGCAGAGCTTTCATAAACACATTTCACCTAATTACTTGCCCAAGATGTATGGTGGGACTCGCGAAGAAGTACCTTATTACAAGTGGATTGAGTCATTGATAAAAGTACCGAAAATTGTTAAAGAAATGGAGCAGCTAGGATACGTAATACCGAAAGATTTTCAAATACCGAAGAGCTGAAGATTGATTCCGAAGGCATTTAACGATTCTGCAGTATCATTATTCTCATTGATTTTTCCTCTTTATTCTCACATTATAATCGTTGTATCATTAATTAATTTACGAGATAGCTCTTGATTAATATTAGCTATTAAAGCACATGGTATGAATTTTATAAAATTTCGTATTGTTCCAAATTTTTATTTCAAAGCGAAATGCTATTTAGGTCAATCCGTTTAATTATATTCGATATATTTCTTCCGTATCATTATATCCTAATTAACAATATCGATAATATTATGAAATATTCTATAGATATTGCTGAACTTATGTACACCCAATTACTTAAATATAGGCTCAAACAATTATTTTTCTACCAAAGTAGAAAAAAAAAGGGAGAAAAGAAAAACAAAGAATCTACTGACCCCGGTAGGAAAGAGCCGAATAAGAGAATCACACTGAGTTGAAGAAAAAAAAGAAATATTTAGACAAAAGCGAGTACATATGTAGGTACATAGGTATATGGTCGAGGAAAAGCGATAAGAGGATTTTGCGAGTGGAGATAAATAGGTCATTTGGCAAGAACGGCAGATAACCGGTAAATTCGAGTTACCGATTAGCATCTAATCTCAATCCATGTAGATACGTATTCAATACACATGATATTCTAATAACAATTAAACTAGGACAATTTATTGATCTATATCCTTTCTAATCCATAATCAAAGAATTAAACAATAATAATAAATTGATTGTTGGACTATATGAGTTAGGAAATTAAGAGAAATAATTTTTTATTGTGTTTCTTTTTTTTCGCGTAAGACAATGTTCCAGTTATCCTTTATAATTTTTCCCTCGGAATAGAGTTAGGTTTCTAAGTAGATAGGTAGGGCAGAAAGAGGCTCAGGTAGGACTCAGCGTCGACTGCTGGGTTTTGTGGTGGTTGATATCGACCCGAATCGCGAGGGTCGGAGCTGTCAGGGGTTCGCATGGCGCACGCCTAGACTCGATGCTTGGAAAGAGGTGGTAGTGAGAGAGGGTGCGCAGAGTGATAAAGAAAGAGAAAGAGAAAGAGCAAGAGAGAGAGAGTGGGTGCGAGGGTGAGAGAGAGAGAGAGAGAGAGAAAGAGTTTCCTCTAGCAGAGAGAAGAGAAGAGAAGAGAAGAGAAGTCGAGGAAAAGACAGGAACGGTAGTAGCAACCTGGGCAGTTCCCCGCGCGCGCGGGTGCAGGTGCACGTCGAAAAGGAGGCCGGCCCGGTGCCGTATGTGTGTGTCTGTGGGTGCATGATAATTCAGCGTGTGTGTTACTTGATTTTTTCGTCGATTGGTGCGTGAGTAGTTAATCAGAAGAACTAAAAAAAAAAGAATAAGAAAGGAAGGAAGGATAAAAAAAAATAGCCAAGACAGGAATATTAAAAGATTCGAGTCGAGTCAAGTGAACGAGTAAGAGAAACAGAAGAAAGAGCGCGCGCGCGAGAGAGAAAGAGAGAAAGAGAGAGAGAGAGAGAAATAGAGAGAGAAAGAGAGAGTGAGAGAGTGAGTAGGACTTGACCTCGCCCACCCTAAATCTAAGTAAGCTAGCGAGCGAGCTTTCCCAAGGAAGACAGCTCAATGAGAATCAACGAGAGGAGACCTTTAACTTACAATAGCAACGTATGACGACTGGAGTCGTCGATTACGTCCTTTTTATTGAGAAACGAAAGGGTGAAAGGACAGAAAGGAAAGAAAGATGCGGTGCGTCTGATAACGTGAACGATTCCCGGCGCCATGTCCCAAAGACTGGAGACCTCGAATGAGGAGTCTTACCTGAACTCCGGCAGGCCATCAAATTTGTTGAGAACCAACTTCAATAACGTCAAGCTCGAGCGACTCTATCGTGCTTCGTCCCTTCAACAGAGACGCGGTGGCCTTCAGTGCTTCCTTCTATCAGCTGTCCTTTACGGGGCTTATACGGTAGCCTCGCCTGAGCCGGAACTACCGGCTCGAGGACTCACCGCTGTCTTCCTCGGTCTGAACTTGGGTTTACTGGCATGGGCGGAACACGGAACACGGGCCAGAGACGGCTTGTGGGCCGCCGTTCCCCACGTGGCATGGTGGCTTTCTACGGGACAGTTGCTCGCTCAGCTGTTTCTCAAATCGAGCGAGGTCACGCCCAGGGACGGACTAGGATGGCTCCTGCTCTTCCTCTATCTCTTATTCGCTACTCTACCCCTTAGACTATCTTTCTGCTTCTTGTTGGCGATTGCTACGGCTGCGGCTTATATGGTCACCGTCTTTAGACTCTCCAGAATGTCGATCATCACGTTCATCGACGTTCTGGTAGGTTCTTAATAATGTCACCTTTTACCTTCATTTTTTCTTTTCTTTTTCTTTTCTGTTTTTCTTTTTTTTTTCTTTTGTTTCCTTTTTTTTTCTTTTATTTTCTCTTCGTCATATCGATCGTTACGAAAAATTACAAATAATTCCTTGTCTATTAAATACACTTGCCTATGTAATAGGGCAATTAAAACGAGAGAAGTAGAATGTAAACAGCGATAGCGTGCGTGTGTGAAACAACTGTTGCTCCCACTACTTCCTAATTTCTTATCAACCTACGCTAGTCTTATCTTTTGATCGATTACATATCCACCTTTATACATACCTCGTATGGAAATTTTAGGGAAGATCACGTATATACGTTGTAGATAGACTCTATTTACGTGCCACTAATCGGTCCCCTTACTTCATACTAATTTATGCGAGGTTGTACTTCGTTCATCGATCCAATCGCGAGTAGGGAGCTTCGCGTGAAGTCTGACGGAAGAGAAAAGAAAATATTATCATGCAGAGAGAGAGAGAGAGAGAGAGAGAGAGAGAGAGAGAGAGAGAGAGAGAGGGAGAGAGAGCGTCTATTCCTTGCAAAAAGAAGAAAAGTTTTAATAATTACTTCAAGGACGATAATCAACGTGCTAGATAATGAAACTTTAGAAAACATTGAAGAAAGTTCATTTATAAGATATATCGACTTAACGAAAGATAAGAAAATTATCGAGTAAAAATTTGAGAAAGTTGTTAGCATTAATCCTTATACTCGATATAACCAAATCGAATCAACATATCACTGTAATCTTATCTTATGCGTTCGTTTACCTTAAAGAGTTCTATGACCGATGGACGTAAAAGTATTATAGAAGGATCGACATAAAGTTACAAACTTGTTGTTCGTGGAGTACACGAAAGCGAAAGCTTCGGCATACACACGTGTGCACATGTGATGCTGTCGTTAGTGACACTCGAGTAGAGTTCGGTCAATGGTAGTTTAAAATAGAGAGATAGAAGCTCGCGCGCGAGACAGAGACGGACATATACGTGACATCGTCCAACGATGCGGCACCGTCGCCTTTCCATGCACGACATACCATCGTTTTTCAATGAGAACGACTAGTAGCCTTCATTGACGTGATATTCTGGACCGTCGGGAAGAATGGAACGTTGATTAAAAGCCCGTGAAACCTACGCTAACGTGTATTAAATTGTACAAATCGTTTCTATCGTCCGCACGTGAAAGTTCTCATTTTTTTTTCTTTTTTCTTTTTTCTACGAAGGATATATCGACACGATCTTCGATACTCTCTCTTTCTCTCTCTTTCTCTTTCTTTCTCTCTCGTGAAGCTAAAAAAAAAAAAATAAAAATATCGAGAAAAACACTTGCCTTCTCATTAACGTTGTACCTGTTTGTTAACCCTTCGGTGCGCGACATTTTGCGGTTCGTATCTTTCCGGATGAGAAAACTGATCGACAAAGCGAGCATCGAAGGGTTATCCTTTTTGCTAATCGGTTAATCCCTGCGTTATTGAAAAGCTTGCAATCGTAAGAATTTAGCATGAAAACATCCTATAGATCCTGACGGTGACACTCTCGGCCGGCGTCGCTATTTTGGGTGCTTCCAGCTACTCCCTGGCGGAGTTCCAGCAACGTCGAGCCTTTCTCGAGACAAGACAAAGCTTGGAAGTACAGTTGGTGATCGAGGAACAAAGTGCTGAACAGGAGAGGCTACTTCTAAGTGTCCTGCCGGAACATGTGGCCGTTAAAATGCGACAGGATTTGGGAGCGTGCACGGACTCGCAGTTCAAGAAGATTTACATGTCAAGACACGAGAATGTTTCGATACTTTACGCCGATATAGTTGGTTTCACAGCAATATCATCGACCTATAGTGCGAGCGAATTGGTCAAAATACTTAACGAGCTGTTTGCACGATTCGATCAACTCAGCGAACGGTAATTACTACTTTTCCATGATATATTATTTTATCTACATTAAACAACCTATATAAATTCTAAACTGGCTTAATAAACTGGAACAGTACGATTGATCGATATCTCATTAGCTTTAAATTCTTCATTGCCATTCAAGTACATATATTATCTGGAAAAAAGAAATGTTCTGACTTGTCTCTCATTTGTTCTATAACGAGAAACTCATTTCCTCTTCGGAAATGATCGATCGGGGACTCTTAATGAGTATTCTTCAATATCTGTGCAAATTAGTGCCGCTTTTTCGTCTCCCCTTATTCTTTTTTCTCCTCGGGATATCCTTCGAGGTGACGATTATGAGAACACGTTGGACGATCGATAAATGTATTCAGGATGTTGATAGCGGCTTTCATTAAATCTCGTTTATCATTTGTCATCGTATATGTGTGTTCGCAGGTATGAACAGTTGCGCATCAAAATCCTTGGCGATTGCTATTATTGCATAAGTGGTGCACCCGTTGAGAGGCCGGACCATGCGATTCTTTGCGTGCACATGGGTCTCTCGATGGTCGAGGCAATAAAATACGTTCAACAGACAACCAACAGTCCCGTCGACATGAGAGTAGGCATACATACAGGCGCGGTCTTAGCTGGCGTTCTTGGTCAACGGCAATGGCAATTCGACGTTTACAGTAAAGACGTTGAACTTGCTAATAAAATGGAGAGCAGCGGAAGAGCCGGGTAAGATTTCTTCTTTTTCTTTTTATTTCTTTTTCTTTCTTTTTTCTTTCGAGTTCTATCGATAAAGATAATTATGTTAAAGACTTTGAGATAATGTCTATCACCCTTGTACGCGATACTGGTTTGGATCATTAAACGTGACCGGCGCAGTTAGGGTTCTTGAATCTCGGCACGTACCAAGGGAGCTATTCGTTCGAGCTTGCGTTCCTCTTAACCTAATTTATTCAGAGGCCCTTAGGTGGGGATAAACAGACAAGGGGCGCGACGAGAATTATGAGAACGAAAAAACTAACGTGTCTTTATTTTTTCAAAACTTCTCTTAACTTCTCGCGAAATTTCACCATGCAAGATGAAGATAATGATATCAAGTTCTTCGCGCGTATTCATAGAGATCGTTGATTATGTAGTGGAACGGGATTAATTATAAACGGTATAGGGAGCGGGAGGATATGTGTGATTAAACGTAATAAATTTGGTTATAATTAAAATAAAAATATGGGTGGGTTTATTTTAAGGAGAGTTCATGTTTCCAACGTGACACTGAGTTTCCTCAACGACGAATTTGAAATCGAGCCGGCGTTTGGGGAGAAAAGAGAGGAAGCACTTAAGAAGGCTGGAATCATCACCTACTTCATAGTCAGAGCCTTAAAACCTTTCAAACCGGCGATAACGAAAAGTCTGGCATCGTTGAACGATGAAACTTCTCGAAGAACAATGGATAATAGTCAGGATAGGAGAAACAACAAAGAGGACTCCGAGGAGTTCAGGCAAAGATTGAGAAAGGAACTTGATAGCAAAGGTAAGTGTTTATCGACCGTTTAGTGAGAATGCTTCGATATGAGAATAATCGATTCATGTAATCTCAACGTAGGTGGGGGTGCCGACCTGAAGGGTCACGCATCGTGGTTGACGTTGCGTTTTAAGGATCCAGTTATGGAAAGGGCCTTTCACAGGGCCGAGGAAGCCTTCTCACCTTTATCATTGTTAGGTGGACCTTTGGTAGTAATGTGTGCATCACCGGTATGGAGATTACAACCATGGGGACCTTTCACTTGGGGTGGTGTAGGCGTGGTTACACTCTTTGGAGTCGTTCTAGCAGGTGCCACGTGTCTTGGAAGTGCAGTAAGAGCGACATGGTTAAGGAGAACCCTTGCGTTGCTAATGATCTTCTCTCTCATCGATTTCTTAATTCTCGACATGGTATCACAATTTTTTTTCACAATTTAACTCATATATTATATATATATGAAAGAACTCGAGCGAATATTGTTCATTCAGGGTAACTGTGCGGTCATCGAAGACGTTGAACCAAAAGGAAACAATTCGAACTGGCCGCGTTGTCCTTATCCATCCTATTATTCTTACATTGGTGTGCTTGCTCTGGTAGCGATCTCTATGCCAACCTATATTTGTTATCTTGGAAAGGCATCGCTGATGTATCTTCTGGCCAGTTTACAATGCTGTATCAATATAGTTTTCATCGCACCTAGCCTGGAAAGAGAGGATATGGTAGCGTCACCACCTGGTCCAGTCTCTTTTCCTTTAAAATATTCCTTGTCGGCTACACTGCTCACCATCGCTACTGCTTTGGTCATCGTAGCTAGATACGTAAGTAATTATTTCACTCGATTGAAATCGAACGAACGACCATGTCTCTTGGGTAATCGAAAGTTGATTATCCGGGGTTATGTGTGCAGAAGTTAACTGCTGCGTGAGGCGGGGCTAATCGAGTGGGGGCGGGGTTAATAGGTGCGGAGGATGGGTTATTTTCGCAGGCGCTAACAGCGCAGCTGTGGCGCTAACCGCCCAAGGGGAGTGGCAAATCCTAAGGGTGGGTGTGGCTAACCTAGTAGGGGGGGGGGGGCAAACTTTCTAGGTGTCGGGGCTTATCCAGAGGGAGGCGGAGCCAAATTCCCTAGGGGCGGGACTAACCAGGAAGGGGCGGGTTCAACCAGGGATGAGATTAATCCGGTGGGGCAGGACCAAACCACCAGAGGTGGGGGGCTAATCCGGCGGAGGCGGGGCCAAACTCCTCCGGGGCTTACCTAGTGGGGGCGTGGTTAATTCGACGGGGTCGTGACTTACCGACAGGAGGCGGGGCTAAACTCCTTCGGGAGCGTGGCTAACTACCAGGAGCGGGGTTATCCAGAAGGTGCTGGATTACCCAGAAGGGGCGGGGCTAAACTCCCAGGGGCGGTGTCAAACTCCCCTGAGGGCGGGTGTAACCTATTGGGGGCGTGGCTAAACTCCTCAAAGGTGGGACCAAACTCCCCAGCGGGCGGGGCGAACACCTCAGGGGAGGGGGGCTAAACTCCCCAGCTGGCGTGGCTAACCTAGAAGATCGAGCGAAAGCGTTGCATCTCCGTTCGATCCTCGACGCGGCACGGAAACGTCCCATAACAATTTGCGGATTGCTAGTTTTTGGTGAGAAATTGAGTCGACTTTTATACGGAGCGATTCGAGGAAACTTTTATCCGTGATTTTAATCGACACGAAATTGTCACGTTAAACCTCTTTGATTTTATTTTCGATCAATACGAAAAAAATATTGTGGAAAAGTAAAATGAAAGAAGAAAGGGGTAAAATAAATGGGGGAAAAAGTGTGGAAGAAAAATGAAAAAAGAAATAAATCGAATAAATTTCATTCGTTAGACCGAGAAAGCGAGGAGAATGCTGTATCTTCGTGGTCTAGAGGTAGAAGCTCAGAGAGAAAGAGCCGCCGATATGAAACGAAGAAATGGCGCGTTAATATACAATATTTTACCGCCTCACGTGGCAACCTATTTTCTCTCAAGGGCGAGGCATCACGATGATCTCTACAGTCAAAGTTACGCCGAAGTTGGTGTATTATTCGCTAGTATGCCAAACTTTGCCGATTTTTACAGTGAGGAAAGTATCAATAATCAAGGACTCGAGTGTTTAAGGTTCCTCAACGAAGTGATCTCCGACTTTGATGCTGTGAGTCGTATATGAAAATATTTCCGATATCGATAGAATATTTAATCAATATGTATATTCTTCTCTTTGATAGATCTTGGATCATAGTAAATTCAAGGACATCATTAAGATTAAAACAATAGGCTCAACCTATATGGCTGCTTCGGGTATAACAGAATCTATAAAGGCCGAAGATAGTCCAAGATGGGCTCATCTTTCAATCCTCGTAGAATTTGCTTTGGAATTAAAGAAGGCTCTTTCGAGTATCAACGAACAGAGCTTCAATCATTTCGTCCTAAAAATGGGTATCAATCATGGCCCGGTAACTGCCGGTGTTATTGGTGCTCGAAAGCCTCATTACGATATTTGGGGTAACACGGTAAACGTTGCTTCGCGAATGGAAAGTACAGGAAGGGTTGGATGTATTCAGGTAAAAATAACCATATTACATTTCTATTATATTCTAAAGGAGAGAGAGAGAACGATTATCAAGATTAAAAGTCAATCAATTGAATTCTAGGTTACAGACGAGACTAGAATGATTTTGGAACCATTTGGATTCGGTTTCGAACAACGTGGCCTCGTCTTCGTCAAAGGAAAGGGTCAACTGCTCACGCACTATTTGGTATCTAAAGATGGAGTATCCCTCGAACTCGATAGCGACCTTCCTGTCGAGCCAACTCATCCGATTATTTATCAGTAACGAAATTGGAGGCACTAATGTCGTCAAAAATTGATCGTTCGTTGATCGTTCATCGATTGTTCCGAAAAAAACAAAGTTACAGGGATAGTGCATATCTGTTCCTTTCTCTTTTTCTCTTTTCTATATTCTCTCTCTCTCTCTCTCTCTCTCTATCTCTCTTTCTCTCTTTCTCTCTTCTACTTGTCTCTCTCGCTCTTTTTAATTCATTCTAGTCTTTCATTAGAACTTGTAATTCGTATTCGTGTTCATAAATAATTACGGTTTAAAATACTTAAACAAAAGGGTAAAAATCCCAATATAAAATAATCTCATTATTTAAAGAGACCGTAAACTCGAGCTTCCTCTAGCCGATGTAATTTATTTTTTTACACCCCAAATCGTCGAGTTTATCATAGCACAAAATGACACGAGTACGTGCAACGCACAGAGTATTACATTAAGGAGAAAAAATAGAAACAGAGAGACGGAGGGAGGGAGGGAAAGGGAGGAAGGGAGGGAGAGAGACAGAGATACAGAGAAGGGAGAAGAGATAGGAGAAGGTGAGAGGAAGAGGGTCGGAGAGTGAGCAGAGAAAAAGAGTGGGCGGAGGTGGGTGATTAAAGGACAAAAGCAGGTAATAGAAAGTTTGCAGGAAAAAAAGGAACGGTAAAGTACGGCCTAAGCGCGAACGAAGCGAATAATTAAAAAAAGAAAAAAGAAAAAATAGAATGATACTTGAAGAAAGAAAAATGTTAAAAAAAGAAAAAAAAAGAAAAAAAAAAAGAGAGAAAAAAAGAAAAAGAAAAAAAAAGAGATGGTCGAGATCTCCAGTAGAAAAATAACCTAAATTCCTGATTTATATGAATCGACTTCCTTCGAACGAATCCACGATTTTTCCGAATGGAACATCGTGACTCTTTTGCTGCTACTACGCTGACGATAAAAATTATTCTCTAAATACATTGTATTGTTTAAACGATCGAAACAATAATAGGAAAGGAAAAACAAAAAAAAAGCGAAAAACAAAAAAAAAACATAAAAGTATAATAAAAAAAGGAAAGATTAAGAAGAATTGGTCATACGAAAATTGATTGATTGACTTCGACGCTTCTCGTTGAGGTCATGCACGATGAGAAAATGAAAAAATACATACATACTTCCACGTTCTTTCACTGATCGCTCTCTTGTAAGCAGTCGATGACGTACATACATATATACATACATACATACATACATACATACATACATACATACATACATACATACATACATACATACATACATACATAGGTACATACAAAATATACACGTACATACATACAAGATGCGCTTATATCGCGCATAATGCGTCTGTACAAAAAAAAGGAAAAAAAATAAAAAAACAAAAAAAAAGAAGAAACAAATGGACATGTAGGACAACACAAACGTACATATACATATACACAGTACACACATACGTATTACATGGAAACGTAATCGCGCGTGAAAGATACTTATGCCGGATTTCTGTAAAGTAGCAATAAATGGAATTTCGTGTAAATAATCGATTTATCGATCGATATAGGTCGACGATTGAGATGGTGGTCGGAATATAAGTACATACTAGATGTCTTTCGATTTCGAAGGGAAGAATGTAATGAGAAAAAAAAAAGAAAAAGAGTAAAAAAAAGAAAAAAAAAAAGAAGGAGAAAATCTAAGAGCGAGACAAATTGTATGTATAATCATGTACGATCAATAAAATCACTGTAGATATATTAGCACCTTTAGATGTGGAGAAAAGATCGAAGATATGATCGAACACTTGTAATTTGAGATCCTCAGTATTATCGAGATGAGAAGGAAAATATGAGGTACGCATTCAAACACACACGTCATAACCGGATACAAAGATATATGTACACAGAGGTTGAAAATAGAGATCAACGGTGTGTAACAACCCCGTCTCTGAATCTGATTGAAATAAACAATATATTACCGGTATACAACAACAACAACAATAACAACAACAACAACAACGACGACGACAAATACAGCAAAAAAATAACAATAGCAAAAAGAACGATTACTTACGAGCATGTTAATCTCCTCTTCTTGTTTTTTTTATTCTTTTCCTTTATTTTTCCATCTTTTTTATAATTTTGTATTGTATTTTAATTTTTTACTTTTCCACAACTCCATTCTATTTGACGTTCAATTTTCGTTTAATATTTTTATAAGATACAATTCGTTATTCTTAACATAAAAATCATATCGCCGATATATCGTAAACATATTCATATGAAATTTGTAGAAAAATATCTATGAGTTAAAATTATTCATCTTTGAAATCTCTATGATGCATTGTTGCGAAGGTATAGCCATTTAAAATGGATACTGCACATTGATTGTCATTAATGGATAAAATTATTACCTACCTCTACGTTGGATCACGTATATTTTTTGCGCAAATTTAAATTATCCAATCGAGGCTAATTAAGAAAAAAGAAATATGCCTAATTATAAAACTCGTCGCAGAAACGAAACTTCAAGACCTAGTCTTTCTATGTTAAAAAAGAAAAAAAAAAGAAGATAAACAAGGAAAAAGAAAGAAGAAAAAAACATTCTTTCGTTTCTTCTAAAATACGGGGATGGGTATCGATTTTTGAAGCAAAGCCTGCTTGAGATTTTCTTATGACGTATATATTGTTATTTATAATAATAATAATATATATATATGATATATATATATGTGTGTGTATCGAGGCAACGTCATTGCAACAACGACGTAATCGATTATAAACGAGACAGGATATTGGCACAGTGAAATTTAATTTCAATGTTCTCCAAGTTACCTCGTTCGATAAGATTTTCGATTTTTAAATGTGTCTTTTAGTAAGAGCTTTGCGATAGTATTTTATATGTTCGAACAATTTTTTAAGACACGATAACGCAAATAATTTCGTTATCACTTTTAAGTTCGCCCTATTAAAGATACAGAAAGGAAGAGAGATTTAAAGAAAACAATAATTAATTGTACTCAATAATACTTCAGAAATTAAAATTATCTTTAGAATGACGTTCTAAAAAATATATATATATATATATCTATTATATTATCACACATGACAACGATAAAACCGACAAGATAAAGAGAGTAGCATTGTTACCAAGAGAAGAAATTTTACGAAAATTTCTTTACTTAAAAATTTCGTTGCTTTGTACAAAGCATTGTGTCGTGTAATATGGATCATGACACATCTTTGTATAATAACACTTCTATTTATTTGGCCAAAATTTTTATTAATTAACGGTAAGTATTTTGTTAAATAAATGATCAGTATGTATGAATATTTTGATCAGTACTTATAATAAAATATCAGTACATAATATAATTGGTCAATATAAATAATTAAATGTCAGAATTGCATATAAGTTTATTATAAATACCGACTATATATTTAAAATTGAGACAAATTATTTTATTTACAAATATTTTAATTAAAATATTGAGAGTTCATTTCGTAAATTAATCGGCTCAATATTAAATCACTTATATTATGTACTGATATTATATTATAAATATTGACCATTCATTTAAAATACTGATTAAAAATGATTGAAAATAATGGCCAAATAAATAGCAGCTGTATAATAATAATATTATACTTGTATGTACAAGATATACCTAACGTATATTAATTCTACAAGAGATGTATTTGAAAATTCGATCTCCTCCTGGTAAAACTTGGTCTTTCTTTTTCGTAATTCTTTTTTTCTTTTTTTTTTTTTTTAAATCCATTCTAATAATCTGCGATCAAATTTACTCGAGATTAGAACAATGCTGATTTATCAAAGCGAAAGATAAATATGAGACAATATTCTTCGAGGGGACACTTCTCTCTTCTACTTCTTTATTTTATTTCTTCCTTCTCTTTGATTTTTCAGCGAGACATCAAACTAGTCGATAATATGACTCGAAGGTTATGCCTGTTAATAATGATGTCGACCGGATCGATCGGATTACTTTGAACTTATCGTAAAATCTTCTCCCATACTTTTTTGTTAAATATGTCTATGTACTTTCGTATCACCCTGTACATTCATGGAAAGTATATTATTATATGTACATATAGTAGATAATTATCATATGTGGTATCTCAATACTTTCGGTTTTTTTTTTTGCCGATTCATTGTAATTTCTTATAGGAAAGATAATCTGTTTCGTGATACTTCGGATCGATTTTATGACGCTCTATTATATATGATTATCATTGAACGATTCCGCTTATCATTTTGTTCTTTCTTTCTTTTTTTATTTTTCATTTTTTTTCTCTTTTCTTTTTTTCTTTTTTTCTTTTTTTTTCTTTTAATTGATAAATCTTTCATTACTTGGAGACACAGAAGAAAAGATTTCACGTTCATTTAGAAACGTACACATGCACACGATTATACCTTATTGAAATCGACGTGTAATATGTTTTAGAATTTGCATGACGAAGACGCATTAACGCGTTCCGTGCGATTGTCATCGAGAAGTAATCGTATAAACTATAAAGCACTTGAAGAATTCTATTCCTTTTTTGTTTTATTTCTTTCTTTTCTTTTTTCCTCTTTTCTTTTTTTTTTTCTTATATTTGGGATCGTATTTCTTTTTGATAATATTTTGCGTGTACGCGTGCACATTCCTAATCTTCAATGCGAACATGCACGGACAAGGCACTGCAAAGCAATGAAGATGATTGAGTTGTCCCTTGATTATACTTTTTATTTTCTTTTTCTTTTTCTTTTTCTTTTTCTTTTTCTTTTTCTTTTTCTTTTTCTTTTTCTTTTTCTTTTTCTTTTTCTTTTTCTTTTTTTTTTCCTCCTAATTATTCTCACGCGATCGTCCAAAAGCCAGCGCTTCTAATTTTTTATGTAAAAAAATTCACTAACCCAAGAGGGGAAGATTCCAATACGAGGACCTTGTCCGAATCGTGATAAAATCGAAAACGAGGACGTAGTACGCATCGTTCCCGACAAGGAGGTGAATCATTTTCTTCTTCAAAAATCCTGAAATCTTTTAATATCGTATTCTTTATATCTTTATATCATACATATCGTTTACCGTTTGATCAAAATCTTAACGAATACCATGGATTTCTTCACGAAAGAAATTCCTCGTATCTTGAATTTCATTTAAATCGATTAAAATAACGCTTTCGCACGGAAGACGAAAACAAAAAAAAAAAAATAGAAAGAAATGAAAAGAAATCGGTCATACCGATTATCACTTGTGCTTTTTTCGTTAAGAAGGCCTTATGGATACATTTAATGCTCGATTCATGTCAAAAGTCGCCAATAATTCGTCCTTACATCGAATCTTTGATAAAGAGGAAGGCTAGATTTTCGAATGGATCGGAAGAAAGAGATGCAATAGACGAAGAGAGAAAAAGAGAGTGTTAGAGAGAAAAGGAAGAAAAAAGAAAGAGATCTTTTGGCGAACTCCTGACATCAAGATTGATCAGGCATTATCGTCGTAAGACTCGCTGGCACCCGGCCGATTATTAAAGTCCTGATTGGAACCAGGATGTCGATCGGGTACCAGTAGCCATCCTCACGTCCTAGCGAATTTATAAACAACACCGAACACCAAGACGCTGACTAACATGAGGACGAGAGCTGTAACAACCTTGGCGAAGACATTCAGTCCACTTTCTGTATGTTGTTGAGGTCTTCTAGTAGGTACACTTTGTTTCGAAGCTAAACCACGAGCCAATGCGGGAAAAGCAAGACTTTGTGTGAACGTCAACTTGTGCAAGGATTCTGAAAGAGAATAGGGCCCTACCGAACCCCTAGCAGCGGCTCTCAAAAGAGCATATTCCAAGTCCAAAGCATCGAACATGCTGTATCTGTGAAAATAAAAGACGTATTTTTTTTTAAGATTTTAATTTATAAACAATGTATATATATATATATATATATATATATATATATATATATATATACGTTTCATTAAACAGATGAGAACCAATAACGACGGTTATGATTAAAGGCGTAAATAAGAAAACGTCAAATATCATGCCGATAGACTCTTATGAAATTTAAGAAGACAGTACATTTTGCATCTTTGTCTTAATAAAAGCTGTGAAAATAATTAATGTCGACGTTTTCGTTAGTCGGCGTCCTATGATCGACGAAAGAAAGGAAAAAGGAAAAAAAAAGAAGAAAAAGAAAATAAAGGAACTGGGTCTTTGCCAAAAGCACTTCGACGCGCTAACTTTGATTAAGGACTAACAGCTAATCATCGCTATCGCTTTTATATTATTGTCGAATATTTTCGTTAAAAAATTCTAAAGCTTGAAATATTTCTGAGTTCCGAAATCGAAAGTTTTAATCTACTTAGATCGTTATTTCTCTTTCTCTCTCAATCTCTCTCTCTCTCTCTGTCTCTCTCTTTTTCTTGTTCATTGTAAAATGAATGGCCAGAGGTATCTCATTGGAATGCTCGATAATTTATAATCAAGTATACTTCGAGAAAGAAAGATCTTTGTTGCCGTGATCAAAGATTAAAAGAAATTGATTATAATTTAGTATTCTCGAGTATACTCTTCTTTAGTATTCTATGATGATGTTTCATTCAAAGAGAAAGAAAAACAAAAGGAAGAAAGGAAGTAATAATATTTTTAAGGAGGACGTGATACGAAAATGCAATTGGACGAACGATTGCACACGTCATAATGAGAATTTCGATCGCGCTAGATGTGCAATATTCCAAGATTGATATATGTACATAGGTATATTTACATTGTGCCAGGGTCGCTCCTTGACACGGTCGTCAAGAGATCGAAAACGAACAATTTGTCCAAAGATATCGTTCGAAGGGTTATTTCTGAGGCTATGAAATATCTCGAAACTCATGATATTAGATTCCTAAGAAAAAATCAAGGTAGAACATCGCATGAAGTTGGCATCGTACTCGTGCATGATCCCTATCGCATACTATATATATATGTGTGTGTGTGTGTGTGTGTATTCGTATTAAAATTATTTTAATTCATATCAAACTAGTAGATCAATGCGAAATTGGAGCGCGACTTTCACTTAATAATCTGAATTACCGATAAGCTTTAATTAATAGCGCCTTGTACTCCTTTTTGAACTTTTTTATTATCGAAAAATGAAAATAAGAAAAGGAAGAAAAGGAAAAAGAGAAAAGAGAGAAGGAAAAAATGCTCTACTTTTTCGCATTTTCTGTCGTCTTGACTACTACTGGATATCGTACTCGGTCACGGCAATTATCGGATCTTTCGAATAACGTCGGTAAAGGGTTGGTAATTTAATCATATAATCATTTCTTTGGATTTCATTTTCAAACATTAACACGCAAGATCTTAGAAAGAGAAAGGATTGAGGGAAGGAAAGGGAGGCAGAGGCAGAGGAAAAGAGAGAGAGAAAGAGAGAGAGAGAGAGAGAGAGAGAGAAAGTGAGTAGCAAGCTAACCAAGACCTGTTGATTCTCAAGAGACTTTATCACGTGGAAATGCAAAGGAGATAAGAATAATTGGTCCGATCACGTGTAATTCTTGATGCAGATTTACCTGCTGCTACGCCGTCTGTCTTGAGAATGCATAGATGCGATCGCTGAACTCGGCATCGATCGGAGACTACTCGTCGTCGTACTAGAAGGGCTTGGAGGTACCGAGGGCGGATCTTCGTCGATCGATGTTCTATCTTGAGTCGGAGGACTTTTCGAGCCTGAATTATGGTGATTGTGATGTAAATGATGCAGATGAAGCCTCGCGTGATCCGGATGCAAAAGACTTGCGCGACGAGATTGTTGTGGTGTCGTCGCTGGACTGTTGCAAGCAGCTTTACACGGCGACGGCGATGCCTAATTAAAATTATTTCTAATATTTATTTATAATATTTCAAAGTCATAATGTAATCGTTAAAATCTAATCGTACCGTTAAAAAAATTATCTCTCTGATCCTATAGAAATATAGTGTTTATATATATATATATATATATATATATATATATATATATATATAAATGTAACATATATATATATATATATATATGTTCAAAATCGATAATACCAATCATTTTGATATAAAAAACGCATAATCTAATCAGTCGTATTAATAAAGAATATCCTATTCAAGTTGATACCTGGATGGACTCGATTCCACTGTCGTTAACGTTTTCCTGAACGTCCGGAAATACAAAAGCTTGTTCCTGACTATCGACCTCACGTCTCGGCGAATCGCTTGGCCATACTTGCAAAAGCGGAAGTCCACCGCGTGTCTCGGTGCATACTTCCGCCGTCACAACGTTACTCTGGTCTTCTGTACCAAGGCACAATCGGCCGTATTCTCTCAGTGGCTTCTGCTAAACGGCAAAAGATTCATAGAGAAAAATGATTAAAATCTTCTTTTTTGTTATTCTTTTTTTCTTTTTTTTTTCCCTTTTTTTTCTTTTCCTTTTTTTACGGACTCGATCAAAGATGACCTATCGAACGAACAAATGATATATTATCCATGCCAATAAGCAGAATCTTGTGAATATTTTATTAAAGAAAAACAAAAAAAAATGGATTTTGTAAAAACTCTATATAATCTCTATAGTTATCTCTCGAATCTTGTTGTTCACCTTTCCACGCACGAGCGTCATGATTAGACGTCACGCTTGCATTATTAATTTAATACGAGAAGATAATAATACATGCCCATAATAATAATAATATTAATAATAACGCACAGTATTCAATATAAGGAAAAAGTAATTGCGATTTCACGGTGAGACGTGATGACAAGCTACGACGAGCCAACACTGAAATTTTTAACGGTTCACTGCTTCTAATGTAACAAGCGCAGAAAGGTCAATTCTGATCTTATACAAAAAAAAAAGAAAAAAGAAAATAAAAGAGGAGGCAAGACGGATGAAGTAAGCGATATACATGAAATCGATATCGCGTAGGTATTTAAGTTAAAAATATTCACGTAGCGATTTCGAATGAAATAATCGTAAGAAATCGAAATCGAAATTTTTTTGTTATTCCCTTATTATTACGGCATTTAACGAAGATTTCATATTGCTTAGCAATATGTAAATAGGAAAATGTAAATTTTGACAATTTTTCATCACGAGAAAATTTATACGATCGGCATTAGCGTAACAGTAGGTCGTACAGTCAGGGTGTTCGTGACCGTGACAGAAGAATCTCACCTTCTTGCTTGGCCTTGGCACAGGCCGGTCGATGAAGGGAAGAAAAAGACGCGAATCGGTTCTCTGGCACGGTGCCTTTCCCATGTAAACACAAATACCATTAACAAGCTTCGCCCTTTATCTTCGTTACTTAAAAAAAAAAAAAAGAAAAAAAAAGAAAAAGAAAAAAAAAAGAAAGAGAGAAAAGACAAGAGAAGAAAACTTGCATAAAAAAATTCTATTTATCGCGTAATAAAAACGATTAGGTTACAGAAACTTATCGTACACGTGTTTACCACTCTCTATACATTCACCTTCTATGTCTTCGCATATTATAAAAAGAAAAAAGTTTATTATTCCCTAACCATTGTCCAATGGAATATACATATTAATATCTATAAATAGATATATACTCATATAAATGTTTTATGAAAATCTCATAAAAGTTAGCCTATTCATATTTAATTACCGTGAAAAATTATTCATTTCAATGCATTCATTATCTGTCCTTGGCCCGGAAAATCTAAAACACTGTGAGACTCGGATACGCACAGTGCATTACTGTGTTAACATAATAAGCAATCTTCACGTCCGGTGTGTGATACCATTGTTTACAGATCAAGAAGATCAATTATCGGCGGTGTCAATCATCGCTAAAAGATCAGCAAGAACATTAGCAATGAGGAATGAATATCACATAGAAATCCAGAAAATTATATCTTAAAGTTTCGTTCAACTAAAGATCATCATCAACATCATATTTAAATAATAGAATGATTAAAGACCTAGTAAATAATATACAAACTTTTGGATTAGTCCGGTTGACGGATAAGGATTAACTTTGACTCGAGAGAAGAAAGGTAAACAAAAGAGCGAGTCCTATCCTATTCTTCGATGAAAAAGAAAAGGATAAGTTGGAAGCAAGAGGATGACCCACCTGCATGCTTCCGCCGGTCGCATGGTAGTAGACGACATTGGCACAGTCCAGCGAGGATGCCTCTTGGACGGAATCCAAATGTCAATTCTCAAATGCAAAAACTAATTGTTCTATTCTGATAAACTAGACCAGATATCGGCCTTGCTCGCGGCTCGGAGAGCGACTGCAACAAAATCCGGTCGGTGCCGATGACGGTGTCGAGTTGGTGGTAGTGATGGTGGTGGTAGAAGAGGGTGAGGATGAAAAAGAGGAGGAGGAGAACGCGTAGACGACGTGTGCGCGTTCGAGGCACCGGCGCGACGTGTTCGAGGTCGGACCTGTTTTCACCCGTTTTAGCTAAAACTCGCGAGCGAAGAATCAAAAGCGGAAAGGAAAGAAGGTGAGCATGATACTGAAGGGCGAAAGAAAATCAGTCGAGAGAAGACGGCGTCTAATCTAGTTGTAAGTAAATGACGAAAAGAGTAATGAAGTTGGTTATTCAAAAGCACGAGAAAGATAAGGAAGAAGAAAACGAATAAGAAGAAGAAGAGAAAGAGGGGAGGAGCCGAGAGGGCGTGACGCCGGCGCGAGAGGAACCCCCTAGGTCAAGGTCGCATAGTAGAAGCAGGAGAGAAAGGGTGCAGCAGCCTGGCGATACAGCCCTGAGCCCCATTTGGCCATCGGAGGCTCGTGCAGGACGATCTTCGTTTCACCTCTCCCATTCTCTGCCTCTCCCTCTCTCACTCTTTCTCTCCCTCTCTCTCTCTCTCTCTCTCACTCTCACTCTCTTGTTCTATACACACCTCAACCCCTTTTTCTGATCGATATACCTACCCCAGACACATTTTCTCTCTTCCTATCCTCGACAACCGATGGCTCGTTGAATTGTTCAATTAATAGAATAGTTAATTAAATGTTACTCAACTGATAATTAGGTCCTTACCATTAACCCATATCTATAATTATTTTAACCTTTAGTTTGTTAAATATGCTTACTTATCCTCTTACATATAATATATTTCATTCTTTTTTTTTCTATTTTTTTTCTACTTCTCTGTGAATAAAAATTTTTGTTTTTGAATTTTTCTTCTCTTTTTTGAGCTCTATATAATTTTCCTTTTTTGCTCTGTCAAAGCAGTCTATCCCAACAGACTATATATATATATATATATACGCATCCCGCTCTTTTATACTCCCTGCGCCTTACTGCAGATTTCACTTTTGACATACCTCCTCCGTGAAAGTAGTAGTAAACGTGTATAGTCCGACGAGCAGCCAGCTGGACATAGTAACTAGAATATATCCCTGCTCGGCCTCGGCCTTGCAATGATCAGCTAACTATTCTACTTTACCCCTTTGCACGTTTGTATTTTCGTTACACACTCCTTCAAGCTCCATTACGTCTTTGTATCTTCCTACGGTCTCTTTCCAAGCGACCTAATGACCAATGGATTTCCTAATAACTTTGTAATTGTCCGATCGCACCAACTCCTTAATTGTCCTCCATTCTATTATTCGTACTTTTTAGGAGATTTTCGTTTTATCAAGCTTAATTATCGTCAATTTAAGAATCCAGATTAAAAAAAAAGAAAGAGAGAGAGAGAGAGAGAAGGAGAAGAAGAAAAAGAGAAAAGAACTGAACGAAAATGTATTCGTGAACATTTTAACACGATAACACGAAAAGTTTAATAATTACGAAATATCGAAAACAGAGAGATATGATTAGTTGCCTTCGTCATACTACGAATCATTCATGCCTATGATCAATTTTATCTTACGCTGTCCTTGTGAACATTAATACTTAAACGTACTAATAATAACGATGTAGAATAATATGTGGAGTCTGTGGTTAGAACGACGAAAGCGATATTACGTGATTGGAATGTCGTAAACCCTCTGGAGGCCTACTAAATTGAATTCCAAAGAAGGATGCGTAAATCCTTGAAGAAAAATATACAGACGAACTTTAGCTATCCTTGGATACAATTTTGGAAAATCATGTATACATATTGAATATCATATTACGTAAAGTATATGTATATATGCATGTATGTATGTATGTATGTGTACACATAAATCCATAAAAGTTTGGCATTAGAAACGAACGCACAAGCTTTTATCGTTTTTCAGGACATTAGGAAGGGGAAAAAGAAAAATTGTAGACATATTCGCAACGTACGATTCGAGGATATAGAACGATCGTTAATGGAACGTAGATGTTCGATAAACGCTCGAGACAATAGTCGCTATCATCAACGACTTTGTTTTATCGTGATTCTATCGAAACTCGAGAAATTTCTTCAGGTTCCATCGTATCATAGCGTCGCTTCGCACTTTACGTCGCTTCGTATTTTGCGTCATTATTGGTTTTACACTTTCATCTGATAGTTATCATTTACGTTTGAGAAATAAACATATGTATATACATTGTTATGATAGTTTAATAATTTCATATCGAACAACATTCTCACGATTGAATTGCAATCATTTATGTATGTATATATATATATATATATATATTCCAACGAGATATTATCTTGAAAGATTAAAAGGGATATAAAGGAAAAAGAAAAATAAAAAAAAAAAAGAGAAAAAAAAGATAATATGCGAAGGATAATCAATGTTTTTGATGTACCTTGAATTTATAAAACATATTAATATGATATAAGTAAGATATCGATTTCAGACCGCGAACTTTATCAAGGACAACTTGCTTCGCGTCTCTGCAGATGCAACAGATGCATACTCGGGAAGAAGAGCTTTCCCGATGACGTGCAACACGTGTTCTATAATCCTCTTGTAAACCTTGCCTTTTCTTTTTTATAAGACGGTAATGATATTCGCGATCGCATATCGACAAACGGTTAGCTTTATGCTCTCGTAATCATCCGATAAAAAGCCAGCTAAGCTTTTACGAGCCCTTTCGTAAAATCGATGCGTTTGCGAGGGGTAGTAGGGAGGAGGGAGTTTAGAGAGGAAAGAAAAAAAAATAGAGACCTCATCGGCGCGAGACTAAATTGAAAAAAAAAAGGGGAAAGGAAGACGTGTCGAAAGATGTTAAGAGAGGGCAGCAGTTATAAGCGCAATGACGTTTCATATCGACCTAACGCGATAAAATGGAATCGTTAATAATTTTTAAATTTCCCGGTTTATTCGTATCAACGAAGGTAACGATCTGATTGGGGATACGAAAGCGTGCAAATCAACAAGATTTAACGAAGGACTTATTTTAAAAAGTTAAGAAGGATAATTTAATTGAGCGTGAGATCAAAGTGAAAATTTGACTTAATTAGTTCTGTACTAATTAATCCAGAAGCCGAGAGCAGAACGAATCTATTTTATTTATTTTCAACCGATGATCTTATTGATTTAAGGAAAAGAAGAAAAAAAAAAAGAAAAAAAAAGAAAAAAAAGACAAAAAAAGGAGAAAAGATCCATCGTTACGATTTTTTTTTCGCAATCACACGTCAATTGATTTGTAATAAAAGTAACGTTGTTGATGATAGCTCGATCTACGCTCGATCGTTAATGAAATGATCATGATCGTTAACGGTGAACGACCGAAGTGATCGTTAAATCGGCGATAGATGGAGCCTACTGTATGCTATTGGCCGCGATCGATGGATTTTATTTTCTCGTGGCAGCGCTTGGCCGCGGGCAGGGAAAGCTTCTCTTCTTGGAGACTTCGCACGAGCACGGCGCCATTGCCATTCCTCTTTCGTTGATATTACCGCTACTACTGCCTCTTCTTCTTTTCCTTTCACCGAGGAGGCATATGTCACTGCAGGGCCGCACGATTTCTTCGAAACGATACCTCTTTCCTCACTTCCTACTCTACAAATATCTATTTATTCTTCTTCTTCTTCTTCAAAAAAAAAAAAAAAAAAAAGAGAGAAAACCGTTCGTTGGTTCGTTCCTTTTCTTCTTTAATCAAATTAAAAATAAAAAGAAGAATCATGGTTAAAGCAAGAATTCGTATTTTGCAAATAATTTCTTTATCAAATATCTTATCAATTTCTACAAAAGAAAAAGGAAAAAAAGCGATGGCCCAACCATCTTGAAATGATATTTCGATTGCAAGATTTATTAAAAGGAAATCAACCAACTCCCGCTGCGATCGAAATTTATTCCTCGTTACCAACGACAAATAAATCTTTGATCTTGATAAAAGAGCGACCCGGTATGGTATAACAATTGTGGGTCATCGATGGAGAAAATAAAATGTTTCCCCGTGTATTCAACTTCGCTACGATTTAATAGAGGAATATGTATTTGAACTATGTATTTGAAATACACGACTAATATGTCAGAGATAGTCACGAGTTGTTGCCGATAGCTAGCAAAGGGTAAATTCCATCGGGCAAATTTCTCAATGGATTCGAGTTGAATAATCAAGCGTATTTTTTTAAATAAATTAAGAAACACTCATTATTGTAAATCCATTAAAAATTTTCGAACTGATCTACAATAATCAAAGAATCATAGCTGGAAATCTTCTTTACGATAATAAGAGACACACAATCCTTTAATAAATCTGTATGATAGACTCCGACACATAGTATTCGAATAAGGTTACACCCATGCTGAGTAGACGTTGTTCTGGCAAAGGAGTTGGAAGATTCGCAAGAGACTGGCATTCACTTCTCTTCTTCTCTCTTTATCTCTCTCTCTCTCTCTCTCTTTCTTTCTCTCTCCCTTTTTTCTCTCTTTTCTCACCGACCTCAGCGGGACACACGAGATGGTGCAATAATTGCGTTTTGCGTACACTAAAGTCGTTTACGTCGTCCAAAACTGGCAGATGGAAGTACTTCTTCCTCTTATCACTTTGACATTTGAAAAAAAGAAGAAGCCCATCTTCGAAATCGTCCTTAAGTCCCCATCACATTGAGATGTGATTCGATTAACAAACATGCCATATCAAAATTACATAATTTATATAAACGTTGTTTCTCTCTCTCTCTCTCTCTCTCTTTCTTTCTCCCTCTCCTTCTCTCGTTCTCTTCCTCAGTCACATGGACTCTTTCTTACTCGTTTCGCGGCCAGGATATTCAACGTGATCGATGAACGAACACGCGTCAGGTGACTCGAAACCTCGAACCTTGAAGTTCAAGAGTTAACAGGCGAGTCAAACAACGAATTGATAATTCAATCGTTGGTCATGCAATTTTTTTAAGTAGAACTCAA